ATTCTGATGTCTTTTATTACAAATTGTTTTTACTTATCTACCAGCAAAACATGAGAAAACCAATATTTCTTAATTTTCCTCTATCTCGAAGGGAATAGACACACCACTGAATAAAAATTTTATAATTTAATAAAGTAAATGTTAATATTGCATTGTTGTTTCAGTTTGCATTTATTAGATTACTCTTTTCTCCATTGATAGGTATTGCTAGGCTCTTTCTTGAATTTCTTGTTCTTAAGTTTCCCTATTGAAATCAGAATTCTCTTAATCATATTGCACACATTTTCCCAAGGCAAAGATGTTGATCTTATTGAAGGCAAATAATTCTTGCAAATACTTTTTCACAGTATATTGTTAGCCTATAAATCTATTTTTTTGTATTGGCTAAGACACTTTTTATTTTATTTTTATTAATAAGACAAAATGAGAAAATTCAGTTTATTTCATTTTAATTTTAGAATCTTGAGGGTACATGCAAGGATTTGTTACATAAGTATGTTGTGTGAAGGTGAGGTTAGGGCTTCTGGTGAGCCCTGCCTCTCCCAGTAGTGGGCATGGTACCCGATGGGTGACTTTGTATCTCTTATCTCTCCTCTCTTGCTTCTTCCTCTAGCAGTGCCCAGTGTCTGTTGTTCCTGTCCTTGTTCCTGTGTGTGCCCAATGTTTAGTTTTCTTTTATGAGTGAGAGCTTGCATTATTCAGTTTTTTGTTTCTGTGATAATTCACTTAGAATGATGGTCTCCAGTTGTACCCATGTATCTGCAAAGGACATGACTTTGTTTTTCTTTACGGTTGTGTCATATTTTATAGTGTATATGTACTACCTTTTTCTTTATCCAGTCCACCTTCGACAGGCATCTGGATTGGCTCCATGGTTTTGCTATTGTGAATAGTGCTGCAATAAACATACATGTGTGGAGTGTCCTTTGGTAGACTGATTTGTGCTCCTTTAGGTATATTCCCAGAAGGGAGATTGCTGGGTCAAATGACAGCTCTATTTTTAGTTCTTTGAGAAATCTCCAAATTGCTTTCCACAAAGACGGAACTAGCTTACATTCTCACCAACATTCCCTTTTCTTTGTAGCCTCATCAATGCATGTTTTCTTTTGACTTTTTAATAATAGTCTTCCTGACCCGTGTAATATATCTCATTGTAGTTTTGATTTGCTCTTCTCTGATGATTAGTGAGGCTGAGCATTTTTTCATTTGTTTGTTGGCTCTTAGGATGTCTTCCTTGAGAAGTGTCTGTTCAAGTCCTTTGCCCACTTTATTTATTTTTATTTATTTATTTATTTTGAGTTGGAGTCTCACTCTGTCACCCAGACTGGAGTGCAGTGGCCGCTCCCGGTCACCGCAGCCTTGGCCTGCTGGGCTCCGGCGATCCTTCCACCTCAGCCTTCCAAGTAGCCAGAATTACAGGCATGCGCTACCACGTCCAGCTGATTTTTTTAAATTTATTGTAGAGATGAGGTCTCACTGCCCAGGCGCGTCTCGAACTCGTGGGCTCAGGCAATCCACTCACCTCAGCCTCCCAAAGGCGCGGGATTACCGACTGAGCCACCGAGTCCGGCTTTTGCCCACTTTATAATGGGGTTATTTTATTTTATTTTTCCTGCCAATTCGTTTGAGTTCCTTATAGATCCTAGATGTCAGGCTTTTATTGAATGCATAGTTGCAAATATTTTTTTCCATTCTGTTGGTTGTCTCTTTACTCTCTTGCTGTGTAGAAGTTTTTTAGCTTGATTAGGTACTACTTATCAATTTTCGTTTTTGCTGAATTTGCTTTTGAGGACTTGGCCATGAATTCATTGCTTAGGCTGATGTCCAGGAGGGTGTTCCCTAGGTTTTCTTCTAAGATTCTTATAGTTTGAGGTTTTATATTTAAGTCCTTGATTTGTTTTGAGTTAATTTTTGTATATTGTGATAGGTGGTGATTCAGTTTCATTCTTCTGCATGTGGCTAGCCAGTTTTCCCAGTACCATTTGCTAAATAGGGTTTCCTTTCTCCCAAGTTTGTTTTTGTTGGTTTTGTCAAAGATGAGTTGGTTGGAGGTCTGTGGTTTTATTTCCTGGGTCTCTATTCTGTTCCATTGATCTATGTATCTGTTTTTGTACAAGTCCTATGCTGTTTTGGTTACTGTAGCATTGTGGTAAAGTTTAAAATCTGGGAGTGTGATTCCCCCAGCTTTTTTTTTTTCTTTCTCCCTGAGGATTGTTTTAGCTATTCAGGCTGCTTTTTGCTTCCATATTAATTTAAGCATTGTCTTTTCTAGGTTCATGAAAAATGTTGCTGGTAGTTTGATAGAAAATCTTGATGATATTGATTCTTCCAATCCATGGGCATGAGATGTTCTTCCATTTATTTGTGTCATCTTTGATTTTGTTGAACAGTATTTTACAGTTCTCATTGTAAGGATCTTTCACTTCTTTGGTTGGGTGAATACCAAGGTATTTTTTTTATGTGTGTATGACTATTGTGAATGGTATTGTGTTTTTCATTTGGTTCTCAGCCTGCTTGTTGTTGGTGTACAGAAATGCGTCTGATTTTTGCACATTGATTTTGTATCCTGAGGCTTTTACTGAAGTTGTTTATCAGTGCTAGGAGGTTTTTGGCAGACTCTCTAGGGGTTTCTAGGTAAAGAATCAGATTATCTATGAAGAGGGATAATTTAAATTCCTCTTTTTCTATTTGAATTCCTCTAATTTATTTCTCCTGCCTGGTTGCTCTGGCTAGGACTTTCAGTACTATGTTAAAAAGGAATGGTTATAAATCTATTTTTAAATATGATCGCTATCATAGGACATGGCACCCGAAGATTATATTTTAAAAATGTATTTATCTGATGATTTTTTTAACTCAATGATATTATTTATGTAACATAATGTCATATAAAGCATACATACACATAATAGTTCCCCCACAGAGACATTTTACCTCCCAGACTACAAACTTTACCACAATGCTACAGTAACCAAAACAGCATGGTACTGGTACAAAAATACACATGTAGACCAGTGGAACAGAGTAGAGACCCGGGAAATAAAACCACAGACCTCCAACCAACTCATCTTTGACAAAGCCAACAAAAACAAACTTTGGAGAAAGGAAACCCTATTTAGCAAATGGTACTGGGAAAACTGGCTAGCCACATGCAGAAGAATGAAACTGAACCACTACCTATCACAATATACAAAAATTAACTCAAAACAAATCAAGGACTTAAATATAAAACCTCAAACTATAAGAATCTTAGAAGAAAACCTAGGGAACAGCCTCCTGAACATCAGCCTAAGATTTTCCTACTCATTGTCTCTCGAGGATCTTGCTCTCTTGTATCTCCCACTGTGAGCATCCTTTCTTTCTCTACAAAGACTTTTTCATAGCCAGTCATTTTCCTTTTGAATTCCTTTAGCTTCAGTTGGCATTTCCACAGTGTATGCTGAATTCCTATTTAATTGCCTTCTGGTGGGTTTTGACTTCTTAAGTAGAACATAAATGCTGGAGAACTGAAATCATAACTTATTATCTTTTCATATCTTCCAACAACAGTACATGGTAGTCTGAAAAATAACCTGCTGAATTAAGAGCAACCAGTGTTGTATGAGGGGAGACCCAAAAAATGCTGGAATTTATTTATTAAAAATTGTGTATTTATTCTTTTTTAATTTTTTTAATTTTTTAATTTTTTTATCAATATTTTTTATTATGATATTGTGGGATACAGTTAAGGCTTAGGTATACAAATATGCTTCATTCATGCACCCTTGTTGATAAGAGGTGTCTCCCCATCCCCAGACAGATATTTACTACCGTTAATCCCATCTCCTTTCCCCTCCCCCCGCCATAGTTTCCTACCACTGTCATTTTCTTATATTACGTTGGATGTTCAAGGTCCATTATATGAGTGAGAACATGTGATACTCAGATCTTTGTTTCTGTGAGAGATCACTCAGTATTATAGACTCTAGTTCCATCCAGGTTGCTGCTGTGTAATTATTCTTACATGTTTAAGCTTTAGTCACCTTCAAAGTACTCTCCATGTGAAGCAATACACCTGTTGAGACACTTTTTCTCAATACAGTTTTTGAACTTGTCAATTTTGATGATTTTTAGTGCTTCTGTCATTTTTTGTTTCACCTATTCCACATCAGCAAACCATTCCCCTATGAGGATTTTTTTCATCCAGAGAAATAAAAAGAAGTTGTTGGGGGAGAAAGTGGATGAATAGGGAGGGTGGGGCATGAGGGTCATACTGCTTTTGGTCAAAAATTGCTAAACACACTCAGTAAGGTATGGGTAGGTTGTTTGTGTAAATCACCCATCATGAAGTGGGCAAACGCATTGAAAGAATCTCAAAAATAAATAAATAACTGAAGCCAAATACAACCTCTCACAACAATACCAGTTGGTATATTGATGCCAATGGGTTCCTAGGACACTTACCTAGCAGGGAAAGCCTGTACTACCAGGGGCCTGCCCTCCAAAAGATAATTCCTTTTTTTGGGGGGGGGAGCTCCCCTTGTATATGAGATTAAATAGTAGACTAGAAAGAGTAAACCAGGAGATTATAACATTTTTGAAAATCTAGATAAGGGAATATTATTCTAAAGTTCATTATCAACTCGGCACAGTGGCTCATGCTTGTAATTCCAGCACTTTAAGAGATCAAGGCAGGAGGACTGATTGAGCCCAGGACTTCAAGAAAAGCCTAAGCAACATAGTGAGATCTTGTCTCTACAGAAAATTAAAATATTAGCCAGGAGTGGTGGCATGTGCCTGTAGTTCCAGTTACTCTGAAGGCTGAAGCAGAAGGATTGCCTGAGCTCAGGAGGTCGAGCCTGTGGTGAGCTGTGATTGTGACACTGCACTCTAACCTGGGCAACAGAGTGAGACCCCAACTCAAACAATAAAGAATTAAAGTTTGTGTTCCAAATCGGAATTTACAAACAATGTTGTTATACGCATCCGCTGGTTAGTGGAAAGAGCTAGAATCCACACTATCACATGAAGGGCAAATGAACTCTGGCTTCAGTCTGGATCTTGGGGAGAGATGTGCTCCTGATCACATTGAAGAATCTGAGGCAGCCTCCTGGACTTTCCCTTACATTTCTTCTAGGGGTCCCCTTGGATCTTAATATTCGACTTGATATCTTCAAGTCTTTCTGCAGGCTCTCGAGTTTGGAAATTGAGATAGGAGACAAGTCAAAAGGGTCACATTTATTAAATATGGCTGGTAGAATCTGGTCTGCAGAGCAGGGAGCAAGAGTGGGGACTCCTAACAGTGGCAGCACTGTGTGCTCCATCCTGGGGACCAAAACATTTTAGAATGTTTTGCTTGATGTGGTGACAGGCCTTTAGTTGGTTTTTTATTATATCAAGGGAAAACTACAATCCTTGGTGGTTGAGATGAGGGAAGGGTCTGGGGGTAGTAAGAGGACACAATCAGAATCTAACATCAGGAAGAAAAAGCATCTACTATGTCTCACTAGCTGATGTTTCTGCCTTTTAACAAACTCTCATTTTCACACTGCTGCTTCATTAAGAACCACTTGCTGTCATTTTATTTTTTTAATGGAAGCGCTCTGAAAATAGGTACACAAAAAAGAACATTAGCTTCCTTAGTTCCTCCCTCTGTCCTCCTGCAAATATGCTATTAAGCTGAACTTTACAAGCTTGTCCGCTTTGTATGGAGAAAGTTGACCTAATGAGTGACCTCTAGAAATTGTCTAATATTTTATTTTAAACGTCTTTCTAATCTTTTTTAAAAAAATTTCTAATTTTTCTTTATTATTCCCTAGTCTTCAGGATCAGCTGTGTTTGGGAGAATTAGAATAGGTGAGTGCATTCATGTTTTTCAGATCATTAATATGAGAAGAGCCAAAGAAGTGTGGAGAAGTAATTTAAATTACCATTTTAAGAAGGGTTAAGCTGAGAATACTGGTTACTGTGTGTAGGGATTGCGTCATGTGCCAAGCCCTGTACGGTATACTTTCCAATTCTTAACTCTCCAGAGAGATGAGGGCTGCTGTTATTATCCCTCCTTTATATATGGAAAAAGAGATGGTTAGGTAGATTAAGAAATTTGCTCAAGTTCACATGGCTAATAAGTGGAAGAACTTGAAGTCAAATCCAGAAAGTCTCATACCAGAGCCCAGACTCTTAATCCATATGCTATTCTGCTATGAGTCCCGGGCAAGAAGTAATAAATAGAGAAGGTTGAAGAGAAGTTTCCTCAAGAAGTCTCCAATTTGAGGGAAAGAGTGAATATCCTGCTTTCATGTGGGATGGGATCTCGGATATTAGAGAAAAGTGCTGTCCTCTTGCATGAGCATGAGAGACACACCTTCACATTTCTCACAGAGTCCATGATCATCTTTTATGCAACATGTGCTTGTAAGGAGAGTTTGCGGGGGAGGAGTGTGTGCTCTCAGAGATGTGTGCATACTGCTAATAGAACAAAGAGACTTAACTGATGCAAAACATGTTTAACAACCAAATATACAATTTTATGGCTTTTGTATTTATAGCAGACATTTCTCACATTCTGGGTATTATAATCAGCATCTCCTGCAGTAATAAAACCAATTTAAAAAAGACTAAAATTAAAAATGAATTATTTGCCCCATCTGGAGCCTTCTAACATCCAGACACACATAGGCTAGAGTAGATGAAGCAAGGTATTTTTACCATATTTCTCTGCTAAGTTTCAATTCCAGGGTCTTAAAGTTTTTCATAACTTGGGGTCTTACTGCAAAGCTAGCTTAGGGTTTTAAAGGTCTCAAGAACCCCAAGCAATGTATCCAAGTTCAGTACAGACTATGAAATTGGTCAATATTTGTGGAATTTCCTGAGTAATTTAGGATAGCCTGGGATCGATTAAATAGTATTTACTATTGAGCTCCTGCTTTTTGCCAGGCATTGTGAACTCAGGGGCAAAATGCCTTCAGGCTGAAAGATTCAAATGCATAGCGAAGGTGGCACTGGAAACCTTCAGATAAGTACAAGTTTTGGCACAAGGTAGAGTGGGAAGAGCTTGGTGTACTACAACCACTGCCACTCCTGTTGTGCCTTGCTGCTAATGTGACTCAAAACAGATATTCTTGGATCTCTTCAGCTTTGTTTTTCTTCGTCATTCCTGTAACAATTACACAAACAATAAATATAATTTCCACTGCACCCAGTGCTAAAAGAAATTTTTCATATTAAAATCTACAAACTGATTAGCAGGTGAAATTTTTCAGAATAAGAGAAAAATATTGGTATTAATAGTTTCCATAAATTCCACACTTTCTTGTACCCCCCCAAACTAAAAAAGCATGCTTAAAATTTACCTCCTTAGTTCTTGTTTTTCCTTAATGTCTTCTCCCAATGTTCCATTCAAAGCTAGTTCAAAAAAAAAGTGTTCGTTTGACCACTGAAACAAGTGACTCTTTGAATTAGTCCTACTGTCAGATTATATCAGGTTTAACCACCAGATATCTATCACCTCAAACACTTATCTTTGCTTTGTTTTGGGAACATCACAATCCTTCTCTTCTAGCTAATCAGAATAATTGGGATATCATCACCTCAAACATTTACCTTTCCTCTGTTTGGGGAACATTACAATCCTTCTCTTCCAACTATTTTGAAACATGCATTATTGTCAGCTATAATTTCTCTACTGTATTACCAAATACTAGAACTTATTTCTTCTATCTAACTGTATTTTTGTGCCTTTTAACCAACTTCTCTTCATTCTCCCCTCTCCCTTCCATACCCAGCCTCTAGTAACCACCATTCTACTCACTATTATCATGAAATCCACTTTTTTAGTGACCACATACAAGTGAGAACATGTGGCATGTGTCTTTCTGCACCTGACTGATTTCTCTTATCATATTGACCTCCAGTTTCATTTATATTGCTGCAAATGACAGGATTTCATTCTTTTTTTATGGCTAAATAATATTCCATTATGTGTATGTATCACATTTTCTTTATCTGTGACTCCACTGATGAACATTAAGGTTGATTCCATATCTTAGATATTGTAAATAATGTTGCAATAAACATGGGAGTACAGATATATCTTCAGTATACTGATTTTCTTTTTAAAAAATATATAGCCAGCAGTGAGATTGTTGGATCACATGGTAGTTCTATTTTTAGTTATTTTGAGGAAACTTCATACTGTTTTCCATAGTGGCTGTATTACTTTTCATTCCCACTAACAGTGTAGAAGTGTTTCCCCTTCTCTGCATCCTTCCTTGTCATTATTTTTTTGCCTTTTTTTTTTTTTTGAGTTGGAGTCTCACTATCGCCTAGACTGGAGTGCAGTGGCCGCTCCCGGCCACCACAGCCTCAACCTGCTGGGCTCTGGTGATCCCTCCGCCTCAGCCTTCCAAGTAACTGGAACTACAGGCGCACACTACTACACCCGGCTAATTTTTTGATTTATTGTAGAGATGAGGTCTCGCTGCCCAGGCGGGTCTCGAACCCCCGGGTTCAGGCAATCCACTCATCTCAGCCTCCCAAAGGCGTGGGATTACAGGCTGAGCCTTTTTTTTTTAACAGTCATTGTAACTAAGGTTAGATGATATCTCATTGTGGTCATGATTTGCATTTCTCTGATGATTAGTGATGTTTTGTTTCATGTACATATTGGTAATTTGCATGTCTTCTTTTGAGAAATGTCTCTTCAGGTTTTTTGACCATTTAAAAATCAGATTGTATATATTTTTTGCAATTGTTTATGTTTCTTATATATTCTGATTATTAATACCTTGTCAGATGCATAGTTTGCAAATATTTTCTCTTATTTTGTAGGTAGTTTACTTTGTAGTTGTTTCCTTTGCTATGCATGCTAGTTGACATTAAAACAGATACACAGATCGATGGCACAGAATAAAGAACCCCAAAATAAATTCATGCATTTACAGTTAACTTATTTTCAACAAAGGCACCAAGAATATAATTGGGGAAAGGAAAGTTTCTTTAATAATGATACTGGGGAAACTGGATATCAATATGCAAAATAATGCAACTACGTTCCCATCTTTTAACGTATACAAAAATCAACTTAAGATGGATTAAAGACTTAAATGTAAGGCCTGAAACTATGAAACTACTAAAAAACAGGGATATGCTATTGGAAACTGGCCTGACCAAAGATTTTTTGGGGGGCAACTGGCAAAAGCACAGGCAACCAAAGCAAAAATTGCTAAAGGGGATTACATCGAGTTTTTCTTTGATGGGAGATATTTCATTACGGCTTTGATCGCATTACTTGTTATTGCTGTGTTCAGGTTTTCTACTTCTTCCTGGTTTAATCTCGATAGGTTGTATGTGTTCAGGAATTTATCCATTTCTTCTAGATTTTCCAAATTGTTGGTGTATAATCATTCATAGTAGTCTATGATGATCCTTTGCATTTTTGTGGCATCAGTTGTCATCTTTCCTTTTTTATCTCTGATTTTATTTATTTGGGTTTTCCCTTTTTTCCCTAAATTAATTTAGCTAAAGGTTTATCAGTTATGTTATTAAAAAAAAAAAACAAAACCAACATTTTTGTTGATCTTTTAAAATTATTTTTTAGTCTTAATTTTATTTTATTTTACTTTATTTTTCTCTAAACTTATTTCTTTTTCCCCTGCTGCTTTTGGGTTTGGTTTATTTTTGCTTTCCTTGTTCCTTGAGGTGCATTATTAGGTTTTTGAAAAAGAATCCTTATTTTTTGAATGTAGGAATTTATTGTTAAAACTTTTCACTTAGTACTGCTTTTGATATATCCCATAGGTGGTAGTATATTGCACTTTCATTTTCATTTGTTTCAAAGAATTTTTAAATATTTAAAAATATTTAAATATTTTTAAAAAGTTATTCATTGACCCATTGTTCATTCTTGAATATTCTGTTTAAATTTCATGCATTTGAACAGTTTTCAAAGTTTCTCTTTCTATTGATTTCCAGTTTTGTTCCGTTGTGGTCAGAAAAGATAGTTGATACGACTTTTACTTTTTTTGAAATTGTTGAGTCTTTTTTATGGCTTAACATATAGCTTATCCTGGAGAATATTCCATGTGCTGATGAGAAAAATGAGTATTCTGTAGCAGTTGTATGAAATGTTCTGTGAATGTCCGTTAGATCTATTTGGTCTAGTTTAACTCCAGTGTTTCTTGGTTAATTTTCTGCCCGGATAATATATCCACTGCTAAAATGGGGTGTTGACGTTTCCTACTACTATTTTATTGCAGTCTATTTCTGGTTTTAAATGTATTAATATTTGCTTTATATGTCTGGGGCCTCCAATGTTTAGTACACATACATTTACCATTGTTATATCCTCTTACTAAACTGACTCCTTTATCATTATGTAATCATCTTCTTTGATCTTTTTTTAAAAAACAGCTTTTAAGTTAAAGTCCATTTTATCTGATGTAAGTATAGCTACTCCTGCTCTTTTTTGGTTTATATTTGCATGAAATAGTTCATTTCATTTCTTCATTTTCAGGCTATGTATGTCTTTATAGGTGATGTGATTTCTCGTAGGCAGCATATATTTGGGTCTTATTTTTTAATCCATCAAGCAACTCCATGTCTTTTAACTGAGGAATTTAGTCCATATATATTTAATGCTATTATTGATAGGTAAGGACTTACTTTTTTAAAAAATATGTTTTCTAGTTGTTTTGTAACTCTTCTCTTCATTTCTTCTTGTCTTCCATTTTGATTAAGTAATTTTTCAGTAGTATGTTTTAATTCAATACCTTTTATTTTTAGTGTATCTATTACAGACTTTTGCTTTGTAGTTACTATGAAGCGTACAAAAACATCCTTAAGTTATAACAAGTTATTTATAACTAATGCCAACTTAACTTTAATTGCAATAAAGAGAAAACAAACACACAAACAAGAAAAAAACACCTGTACACATTAACTCTTCTCCCCCCACAGTTTGAATATTGATGTTATAATTTGAATTTTTATATTGTTTATCTTTCCATCAATTGCTGTAGTGTTTTTAAGCAGTGTTGCCTTGTAGTTTTCCTCACAAAGATGTAAGTCATTTACACACACAAATAAAATATTAGTATGATAATCACATTAGTGTCTTTTTCTTTCAGTTTGAAGAACTTTCTTCAGCCTTTTTTGTAGGTCAGGTCTAGTAGCAGTAAATGCCCTCAGCTTTTGCTTCTCTAGAAAAGTCTTTGTCTCCTCTTAGTTACTGCGGTAAAGCTTTTATGAGTATAGCATTCTTGGTTGACAGATTTTTTTTTTTCCTTTCAGCGTTTTGAATGTCTTTCTACTCCCTCCTGCCCTGTTAAGTTTCTGTTGAATAATCTGCTGCCAGGCATACCAGATGTCCCTTAGGTATTACTTGCTTCTGTTTTTTCTTCACTGCTTTCAGAATCCTTTCTTTGTCTTTGACTTTTGAGAGTTTGACTATAAAGCCTTGGGGTGCATTCTTCAGTTGAATCTGATTGATGACTTTTGATCTTCTTTTATCTGGATATTTATTCTTTGTCCATATTTATAAAGTTTTCTGTTGCTATTTCTTTGAATAAACTTTCTACCCCTTTTTATTTCTAAGTTCCCTTTTTAATTCTAATAACTCAAATATTTGCTCTCTTGATCAGTACTCCATAAATCTTGTAAGCTTTCTTCATTCCTTTTTATTCTTTTTTTTTTCTCTTGACTGTGTAATTTCAAATAGTCTTCCTTTGTGTTCACTGATTCTTTTTTCTATTTGGTCAATTCTGCTGTTGATGCTTTCTACTTCATTTCATTCGTTGTATTTTTCAGCTACAAGAGTTATGTTTGATGTTTAAAAATCACTTAAATCTATCTGATAAATTTATCTGATACATTTCTAAATTGATTCTTTGTGTTTTCTCAAAGTACACTGAGTTTTATCAAGACATCTATTTTTTTGTTTGTTTTGTTTTGTTTTTGAGTTGGAGTCTCACTCTGTCAGCCAGACTGGAGTGCAGTGGCCGCTCCTGGCCACCGCAGCCTCGACCTGCTGGACTCCGGCGATCCTTCCCCCTCAGCCTTCCGAGTTGCCAGAATTACAGGTATGTGCTACCATGCCCGGCTGATTTTTTGATTTATTGTAGAGATGAGGTCTTGCTGCCCAGGCGGGTCTCGAACCGCGGGCTCAGGCAATCCACTCACCTCAGCCTCCCAAAGGCACAGGATTACAGGCTGAGCCACCAAGCCCCACCAAGATATCTATTTTGAATTTGTCTGAAATATTATACATCTCCATTATGACACTTTATTTTGTCCATTTGATGAGATCATATTTTCCTAAATGTTTTTTATACTTGTGGCTGTGCACACTGGGGGATTTACTATTTAGGCTGCCTTTGTTTGTGCCTGTTCTTCTTCAGAGGGCCTTC